ACAAGCAACTGAGGGAAACTCGTTCGAAATTCGTTTCAATCCGGGAGGGGGGGCTCCGAGGTTCATCGAGTGACTCTCGCTTTACATAAAATCTCCCCATCGTAATTGCCTTTCGAAAGTTCGAGATTGGCTACTTTTGCGCGACCATTTTTCACCGGCGGACTGTTATCAGAGTAATCGAGAGCCCGGTAAACGCGATGATTTTTCATCGGTTTCATCGCTTGCCGCTTTTCTCTCCCTCGAAATTTATTCGAAACGAGGGGGAGAAACCGTAAAGAGGGAGAGGGGAAAAAGGCGGCGAATTTACACGTTGAAACGTGTACGTAATGCATCGTTGGCCGGATGCGCCCGGCTCAGTTCATTCGAAAAATATCGCAAGCAGCGTTGACAGATTGACAAAGCGTCGCTACGTGCTCTCTCTTATCGTTCGACTCTCTCTCTCTCTCTCTCTCTCTCTCTCTCTCTCTCTCTCTCTCTCTCGTCGAGGCGAGGCGAGGCGAGAATGTGCAAATTTATTGAATGCAAACGATTTCCATCGGGCCACGCGCACATTCGCCGGCTACGAGCGCATCATTATCGACGATCGACGTTTCCAGTTGGAGAACACTGCCGTTACACAATGGTTACGCGTAGGCGAAACGTGGCTCGTGTAACTCGAGCGACGCGAGAACTATAGATTTTTCGTTCCACGAAATTTGTCGACCGACTTTCTGTTTCGAATGAAAACGCAGCTTTCAATTTTAATAAGCGAATTATGGAAAGCCAATGGTTCCAAACTTTAAAAGGTGAATTTATACAAAAATTCCTCTCTGTTCTGTTTATTTCTTGCGAGAAATGCGTTCGTGTTGCTTTCTCGTACGAACGTTTACGAATTACCGCAAAGGGTAGACGAGTTTGAAATGTAATCAGAGAAACTGTAAAACAAGATACATATTTCTCCTGCAACTTGCGAGCCTACAGCCGATCGTCTGCGCGCGATTGATATTGAGAAACAGATTAAAACCGGCGGTGAATATGGCAGCTACCCGCATTCACCGCGCACGTTTCCATTCAACTACTTCAATCTCCTGCCGGCGAGAGAATTAAATATAATCCCCGCCTGTCTGTTTATAGTCGCGTCGAATCGATCGGCTCTAATCCTAAGAAAATTTCTCTCTAATTACGCCGCGTACATACGGGGTGTTTCGTAACTTGTGGGACCCACTTCGGGAGCTGATTGCACGCTTAAAAATAATGAAAAAAAAATCATATAAATATATGTCCTATCTGTCTTCGTTTATGAGATATAATGAATCTTNCGTACTTTGTGCCTGTTAGTTTCCCATCAAGAAAAAAAGGTCCAATTAAAAATTTATCAATTATTCCTGCCCATGCGTTTAAACTAAATTGATGTTGATGTCTTGGAAGCACAATAACATGTGGAGTTTCTTCATCCCAATTATGATTATTATGGAAATTGAATGTACCATCCCTGGTAAAACCTAGCTTACTAGAGTTTGCTCTGTTTATAAAATTCATTCATATCTCATAAACGAAGATAGAACATATATTTATATGACTTTTTTCCATTATTTTTAGGCATACAATCAGCTCCCAAAGTGGGCTCCACAAGTTACGAAAAAACACCCTGCATAAAATATCCGAATGAATATCTCCATCCCCCTCTTTCTGTCACATTACGTAACTCAACGTACGTGTCAAGAACTTTGAAAATCCACGATTTATCGCGTGTCGATGGAATACGTGGGCCAAGATACGATCGAGACGCACTCTGCGAGGAACACACGTTGTTCCTTTCTGGCCGCAGCCAGCGAGAAAAACAGACATCTGCCAAAACGACAGAGGCACCTCTAATGAAAATAGAGCCAAAGCCACGGCCCAAAGTTCGAAATTGGATTTCAAGGCGGAGCCTGCGTGGCCGAGCAATCCCACCCTTTGCGCGGCTATTGCCAATGGAAAGATATGCCAAATAACAGTTTCGTGCGTGTGTCGGCCAGACGCGCATACACAACGCTCGCGTATAAATCTACGCGAGCATGAGTCATGTGAGAGAACGTTGCACAATTTGAGAGAGATCCGGGGAGACCCCCGAACACGTCGATGCGCCGAGTGCGATCAGCTTCGCGAGGGAAAGAATCTGTCGTGTTTGCGACGAGATCACGACAAACGCACACGTTTGTAAATACGTTCGCGCGTTCGGTGGTTAGAATTTGATTCTTGGTGCACGAACCGCGAACGAAGCGTTACCGACTGTTTAATCGTCAGGGGCAATACGCAAATTGAGCAATTATCGGTAATTAGGTGTCGAGCGAACGCAATACGCGAAACTGCGTGCCGTGCGAAACGGAAAATTTCACGAGCAAGGATCGATTTGCTTGCCAATGTTTGTAGGTTAATTAAACATTTCAGAGACAAACGCATTCGGCGAGTGACGAGGAAAATAATGCAGAGTGAGAAAGTCTTGTTATTCGGAATTTCTTCCTGCGTTGCCTAAAAGTCCTTGCACACGTTGAAACACGCGATGATGCATGCATCGACTTCTAGGTTACACGATGCATGTTGCAATGTATGTCTCTCGGCGAATCGGCAGGCAAATTGACTCGGATGCAGGTTTCATGAAACCTAGAAGTCGATGCATGCATCGTTGCGTGTTTCAACGTATGTGAAGGCTTTAACACCTCTTGCGCTGGAACAACGTGCCGCGCACGTCGAGAATCTTTTATCTCAAAATTGTAATATTTTCTCAGTTTCAAGTATATCTAAGTGAAACAAAATAGGCAAAACAAGTAATAAATTTATTACTTGTCAATAATTTCTATCCAGCGATATCACACCCGGCGAGTTCAAAAAGAAAGCGACGAATTATTGTATACGGTTTGGTCACTCGTTATGGTCCGCAATCAGTTGCCAGCGGTTAAAAACGAGACAACTATCACTTGCTGCGACGTGATTGTCGCAGTAAAGAAACCAGATTTGGGACTGTTTGTTTAGTCACACTAATTTTAAAACTTAAAATACAAGCGTATTATTGTAAGCGTGTGTGAAGTGCGTATGAAGACAAGAGTTTAAAGATTTTGGACAGAGTTATAGTAACGTGCAGATCTTGAGACTTAACTTGTAACTTCTTGCGCTGGAATGACACGCTATGCACGTCGACAGTTCTTTTCCCTAATTTCCAACATTTTCTTGATTGTAATTATATTTAAATATAACCCAGGTGATACAAATAATAAATTTATATACTTAATAATTCCTATCCTTGTTTTAAATGGCAAAGCAACAGTGAACTTGATGATATTTCGACAAGTTCAAACGTAAAGTGACGAATTAGTATTTCTTCGTCGTCTCCTCAATTACTTGATATTAGTAAACTATTTATTATAAATCATCTAGGTTATATTACCATTTAAATACTATTTCTTCCCCACAATAATTCTCCCATCGATTCTCTGTTTAATCGGAAAGGGAGACGCAGATACGTTTACCTAACAAAGGACAGAAAGATGTCAAAGGTGTCAAAGATCGAAAGAGTTCGAACAAAGACGAAACAAAGTCTGACCCGTTGGGTGAGAAACGAGCAACTTTCACGCTCGCGCGACGTCTCGGGTGCACGAATCACTCTTTTTTCGCTGCTTTCAAACAGCACGGAAGAGACCTCGTTGCCGCGGGCCTAACGTTAATGCGCGTGATTTTCTTTTCACTCGTCTCTCGGCGGAGCACACTGCTGGTCGCTGTTTGCACTGCGATCCTTTTCACGATAGAACGGACAGCCGAGAGAGACAGAGGGAGGAAAACGCGGGAATAACGTCGTTTCAACGTTAGGGCGGGAATTTGTAATTACGGCGATAAAGAGAGGAACTGTTGTTCACTTGTCGTGAATTCGAATACAAATTATCGTCAGCAATGTATTTCCCATATTCTATCTCGAATGAAGTTATCTCGTATCGTCTATATGTAATATATATTCACTTTTGTGCATATATGGATGTTCAGAATACTAAACTTTATTAGGAGATTAATACGAAGAATAAATACATACTGAATTTCGAATCAAATACTCATAAGATTGCGACGTAACGTTACACTCGCAGTTCTCCGAGTTCTACATTGTTAAATGTTTGAAACGAACCATGCGACAAATTTCAAGAAGTCTGCGCAGAATCTGAATTCAGAAAATACGATGACAAATGTTTAAAAAACGACAGATGAGAAAAGGATTACTGAAAAAGAAAAGAGAAAAAATGTTTCAGAGATAATTTCCTAATCACTTTCTAATACGTCTCTCGCTTAACCGTATTCGCAAGTGTCCTGATATTCGCGAAACGAGGGTGCACGTTCCTCGCCGAGTGAGCTGAATATCAAAGGCAAGACAAAGGCTGCTATCACTCGAAAGACGTGCTAGAGAGTAGGGGACCCTCTGAAAGGTGTACACGCGTTTCTAAAGTTTCACCCGGCGAGAAACGACGTTTCATCCCCCGAATGGCGGCGCGCTCGAGGTCTATTTGTTGGATTTGCTAATTAGACGCCGGATGAAATATTGAAAAGAATGTCGTCACAGCGGCGGAGCCGCTTGTACCACCGGGTAATTGGAATATGTAACGAGCACGTAAAATGAATGAAACCGGCAAATTTCCTCGAGTTTTATGGTACCGTAAGTACGCCGGGGGCCCAACCTACCACCGCCATTCCCTTTTTTTTTTTTTCTTCTTTTTTTTTCACCGTTACGTAAGGGTGAATCTAGAACGTTTTCATTATTTGCACAAGCATTTCTCCGTCGGATTCTTTCTCATGAATATTAACGGCGAATCTCTGGAGAGGCTTATTTCCTTTTTTCTACTCCTCTTTCTCTCTCTCTTTCACATATTTTTTAACCGCGGACTCGTCCAGCATCTCGTAACAAGCCGACCTTCGACGCCACTTTTGAAAATTTTTTGAAAGAAAAGGATAAAAGAGAGAATTAATTAATTAATTCGTGCAATTGATATTTTTCGCGGACTCACCTTGGCGAAGTCGATCTTCAGCGTGCAGCAACCGGAATATATGTCTGCTCCGTGAAGCGTCTCCTTTGCTCTTGTTGCCGATTCCACCGAGTCGAACGTGGTTGTCGAATGGAATTCGGTTAAGGATATATAGATGGTTCTAAACGATAACAGAAATCGACGCAAGTCTGAACTCGGAGAGGATTTTCTCTTTATCGAAATTGAAACCAAGGGAAACGGAAACGACTTCCAGGCGGCGATGATAACTTTATGAATGGCAGACGAGAGAAACAACGATCGTAGGATCTTGTCAAGAATTTTTTCGTCAGAGGATTGGAAGGAAACGCTATGGATTCGAGGTGGAAAATGGCGAACGCTATGGATTCGAAGGTGGAAAAGTTCTCGAAGCATCGAGAGACCGTGAATTTCAAAATCTAGGAGCAGACACGTAAACCTATGTCGCAGATTTCACAATAACAGTAACTTTCTCGTCTATCTCTACTTTTGGAACAGCATTTACTATCAATACAAATCAACCTGAGACGATTTTTATCTAAAGACTTGACAATAATTTTAACACAATTGTCTCTGTGATACTACTTTTGTAAAATGGCAACGTTTTATTAATATTAAGTGAAAGTCGGCAGTCGAAATGTTTCTCTTTGTTTTGAATTTGTACAATATGAACTCCAAACTGATATACATCTAAGGTGTTGAAAGAAAAACTTTTTATAAGGTTTTCCTTATAGACTCGACATCACTTACGGCCACGTCACTTTGTCAACTGCTCCCGAATCGAATAATTACAATCGACTATACATGCTGGTTTGCGTATTATTTCTCGAATTTGAAAATTCCTCTTGCTCTGCTCTAGCAGTCTAAATTACGAAAAATTGACGCTGCGAATTCTTTAGACCATAGTCACCGTTAGTACACAGCCAGCGTTCAACGCGACAGACTATACTCGCCGTCAGCATTGAAAGGGTTAGATATCTAAAGCGGCCGACAACTTTCAAAAAAACAGAGGAGCCTCTAGTTTGATTAGAAACGCTCATCCAGTATGCCACGAGCCGTGTCGATATTCGGGCCAAGGTATCAGAGCGAGGATTAAAGCGAGCAACGACGCCACTACCGGAAGATCCTGTAACCGTGTCACTCGCTGGTTCCGCTTATAAATCTTCATCGCATTGTAACGGTGGCGCGTGACTGACAAACTTCGCCAACGGGTAGTTGTTTCGCGAAGAAAAAGGCGAAGGAGGAGGAGGGAGGAGGGAGGAGGGGGAAGAAGAAAGCAAGTGTGCCATCATGTCAGAGAGATCCTCTCGAGCTCCAAGCGCCCGTACATCACGCTTCGTGAAACTCATGTGTGCTTCACACGCGGAACGAGATCCACCGAGTGGATCAACGCGAAGATATTGCAAAAGGATATTCCACCATTGCTTGAACGCCGTTCTTCTTGAATATGACAATGCGCTGAACCTGCCCGCTGGGCGTGCTGATCGTGTGCAATACTTCCTGCAACAGAGAGAAAAATGCGAAATGTACTTTAGAAAAGTTTCACAAATTTTTTTTAACAATTTTTACTGCCAAACGCACAGACAAGAATTTTCAATTCTGTCCACTACGTAGCATCGTGAGAGCTAACCACTTGCGCTGGCAACTGACTGCGGACCGTAACGAGTGACCAAACCGTATACAATAATTCGTCGCTTTCCGTTTGAACTCGTCGGTACGATATCACTGGATAGAAATTATTGAGAGGTAATAAATTTATTATTTGTTTTGCCTGGGTTATAATTAAAACTGAGAAAATATTACAATTTTGTTCTTCGAAAAAATTCTCGACGTGCGTGACACGTCACTCCAGCGCAAGAGGTTAAGAAGCAGATATATAGAATTTCGGATCTGATGTCCGAAGCTTGCACGTCAAGCACTGAAAGATCTAAAAGGATTTCTAAAATCTCAAAACCAGCTACAGGCCACGTCCGTGTTATAAATCATTTTCGTTGTTGGCTAGACAATTGAAAGAATCTGCAAACTTTTTCTTTACAGTATGGAGTGTCCAATCTTTTAGATCTTCTAGGCTTCACTGGCCAACAAAAATTTTGTTATCAGTTCAATGTAACTTATATTATTTACAAGAACATTAAAACAACTTCTTATAGTGAAACAATACACTGACTAGAAAAATATATTTATATTAACTTTTAACGAAAAAACTGAGCTCGTTTTCAGCTCATCGATAACTGATTTGATACAAGTAGTGGCAATACAAAAGAGTATTTCGTCAAGATGCTCGTCTAAAATTTTTCTTCTCATTTTATTTTTTGTATGCTTCGTATGGGAAGAAATCTGTTCGCAGATATAAGTACTCACCAAAAGAGACATCATGGACATTCATTTAAAATTGTTCAAATAATAAAATCCTTATTCAATTATTCCAATTTTACAGCGTAAGACACGCCTGCCTTAGAGTGATAAAAATACTGTCGTAGAATGTGAAAGTATCTGGAAGTGCACGATTTCGTGAGCGAATGTGTACGTGAAAAAATTTTATATAAATTTGTTAAACAAACTGGATTTGTTATTTTAGAGGCGAAATATAAATTAATGAACGAACTAAATAAATTGATACAGATGTGTTTGTGTACTTGTATGAAAAATGTGCGATTAAATAAACTAATGAGAATTCTCTGTTGATGGATGTATGACCATATCGCATCCATCACAATTGACGTTATACAAAAGCTTTTCGTATGTATTCCAATATAGAAGTATACATGTTATACGTTTACAATCGTACAGTGAACACTGACATGCAACATTTCTGAAAATATTGCAACGCGCGGAACTGAACATGGATTTTAACTGCATTTTTCTATATCCATTTAAAAGTGGCATTTTGTCATTTAAAAAAAAAAAAAAAAAAAAAAAAGAATCTCGAAAACCTGAAAAAAAGAAAAATCGCCTTATGCTCGAAATAAATTCCATCGCGCAAAATAATAAAGGGGAGAATGTTCCGGCACGCGCGTCACGTAAAAGCGGCTGGAGCTGCACGCGAGATATACATATCTCCCCTGCAGTATCTCAAATTCAAATGCCGCAATATTCGCACACGCATTTTACACGCATCCGGAATAAAGATATACAAAACTGCCGTGTTAAAAAAATATCTCAGCAATTTCATTCAGTCAACGCTCGAGATTTCTGCAACATTGATCATTCTCGAAAAATCCATGGCTGGAGCCTGAAATCTCTGACTCTGAGAAACATTGAACATTCTAAATGTCCACGTCATCGATAGAATCTGATCTTTTCTAAACATAAACTGCTCATAAAAATTAGGGGATATTTCAAAATGAATGTGAAGCGATAAGAAAAAAAAGCGTCTTTTTTTTTATTAAGCAAGAACAACTTTCTTTGACTTGTCGTTGTTTAGCACCTACTAAGGAACTAAAGCATAGAATCAGAGATATTAAAATGAAAAAAATAGAAATACAATAGAATACACAAACTTTTATTCGTGTATTTTATAAAAAATCATTTAGACTTCTAAAAATACACATTTTGCATCTGTAACATATCTAAAAAAAAATTATGAATTAGTCATTTTAACCATTTCGATAGTTCTAGTGTTAATAAAAAAAAAATCAAATGCTCCTTTTTTTTCATCGCTTCATATTCATTTTGAAATAATCCCCTAATCTTTATGAACGGCGTATTTAATGCAAGTATCCCACGATCGGAGCTCGGAATCATTCGAACGTTAAAGGATTGAAAATACCGAAAGTTTACGCCATCACTATGTTTAGACGCACAAAGATAGATGTGTCAATAAAATCAATCTTGATAAAACGCATAGATAAGTTCAGCACTTCGGCCAGATGTGTTTACCCACCGATCGAATCGCGATTGCGGAACGTTGGATTTCCACACCGACGGCGGAAAAAACGAGGAATAATCGAACGATATTCTAACATTGCATCGTAATTATATACAATATACATATATGTTGGGCTGTCTAAATGTTTGCGAATTTTAACATCCACAACTCTTCGAGAGAGCCGATCGGAAGAGCAACAAACATCGATATCGGTTTAGCTTCTGTTACACCACGTTCAACGGAAGTGCACGTGAATTTTGTTTCTCATTGAAGTTTCCAAGACCTTGTCGATTTCTTAACACGTTGCAATTTATTCGACGCTAAAAGCCGAATGTTTAAACGATACGAGACTTAACTGCGTACTGGGTTGAGTATTCTGCGGATAGACGACTTTAGGATAGCATGACTTTGGTAATATTAATCGGATCTGGCAATACTTGCGTGCGTTTGAAAGGTGACGTGTCATAGAGTAATTTTAATGAAAGGAATTGTGATATTTGTTTACTCAGTCGAAAGTTATCGCGCGTTGAAAATATGAACGAAGTTAAAGAAGAAAATCGATGCATTTTGAAATTCTATTACGAAAAGGGGGAAGAATACGAGGTGCTAAAAAAATCTGTGACGTTTACGGACGCGATACAGTGGCACAGAGCTGATTCAAGCGTTTTCAATCTGCAAATTTGGACATCATAGGTGCATCTCACTCTGGTCGACCAATTATTGAAAAAATCGATGAAATCGTGGAAAAAATGGAGCAAAACCGCCGCATTCGCAGTCACGATATCGGTAAAAGATTAAACACCGGCCACAAAACAGTTTTAAACTATTTGAAGAAGGCTGGATAAAAAAAAAAAGCTCGATGATTTAACACTGAAAAATTTAACGAATCGAATTTCTCTGACGACTCGTCAAAAAATTGAGAGAGCTTGACTGGAAAATTTCGTTGCAGCCACCGTATAGTTCTGATACTGCACCGTCAGACTACACCATTTGTTTCGGCTTCTACAGAACTCTCTTAATTGTGTAAAATTGACTTGAAAAGAGGCCTGTGTCGCAGTTTCTCACCCAGAAATCACAAAAGTTCTACGACGACGAGATTATGATTTCGCCTCAAAATGACAAAAGGTACATATTTAATTAAGAAACTTCGTTTAAAATATGAGAAAAAAAATTTGTTTCACTTTTATACGCGCTAAAATACGAAATTGCTTTTTACTCGACCCAATATACACGGGATGTCGAACGTAAATACACGATGGTGAGAAAATTATGTTTCCAGGCACATTTAAAATACACGACGTTGAACAAAGATACAGCATTTTAAACGACGGGCTAAGCTTCGAGAGCAATTCGTTATAAATACATCGTGCCGCTGGTGAAAATAATGCAACGCGCAAAGCGCGCATTATTGAAAAGCTCAAGAACTTATTTCGCTCGTTTCACAGCGGAAACTGGGTCAGTTTTTTTCTCCGCGACTGCCTTCATCAATTCTTTTTATATTCGCGATCAACGATCTCAACGATCGCGACTCGCGTCTCGATATTACGACTATATATATATATATACACACACACAAAGTGTTTCGTAACTTATGGGACCCACTTCGGGAGTTGATTGTACGCCTAAAAATAATGAAAAACCGTCATATAAATATATGTCCTATCTGTCTCCGTTTATAAGAAATTATTTGTTATAATGAATTTTATAAACAGAGCAAACTCTAGTAAGCTAGTTTTACCAGGGATGGTATATTCAATTTTCATAATAATCATAATTGGGA